ATACACATATATATATACATACACATATATATACATACACATACATATATATATATATATATATATATATATATACACACACACATACTATTTTGTATTTATTTATTTGTTAATTGTTAGGCTTCTTGGTCCGGGACCTGAGTCCGAATTTTGTACTATAAACATGAAAATATGAGCTGGTATGACAATAAAAAATACTTGAGTCCTTAGTGCAACCATCTTGAACTAATGTGACTCCAAATCAGGTGTAGGTGTACGTCCAGCGATTACTGACGTTCACATTTATTCAGTGGATCATGAGATATATTTGTAACAGACAAACACGCAGACAAAATACATTGTCATCATCCGCCTCTGAAAAGCAGTGCGCCAAAAAATAAAAACGGTGCCTCTACAACAAAACATACTGATAAGTTGAAGCTGTAAATCTGGCTGCATGTTGTCGTGAACTAAGCTTGGTTTAATAAAAAGGTTCTGTTTCTGTTAAGCTGCGAGTGAAGTTTGACATATTCACTGCAGTTATTTTACTGATTGTTTTCCCAGCAGCCGTTTGCATGGAAGCCAGTTTCTCCTATGGCCGTTAAATTTGGAGTCATGTTTCATGTGTGGAGGAAGGCAGTCAGACAGCAGGTGAGGTTTGCCACAGGTAGGAAATGCAAATGAAGGCAGACAGAGCTGCTTCACATCCTCACTATCACACAGTTTAATTTGCATCCAAGGACGGAGGACGGAGACTGAAACATTTCCTCATGAGTTGAGCTGTGGGACTTGACTCCACATCATGACCATGGTAAAGTATGGATGTTTTTATTTCTATAATACTTTGGTTATTGCTCTCATTGTTAGGGAGAATAAGAAGGAAGTGAGCAGATGTCACAAGCCTGCATGAATTTGTTTTTACAGTCAGTTCAGTCGTTGTTTGCTTTTGAATTTTATGAAGGGAACAGATCACAGCAGCCCTTTTGTAGTTTGTGAGGGAAAGAGCTCAGGGTTTTATTCAGGAGTTGGTTCTGTTCGAGGTCAAGCAGATTTTTGCTCTGGATTGTCCCATAGATCTGAGCTCTGAGCTCCATTTAGACATTTTTGAAGGAGACACTTCACAAACAAAATGAAAACCATTTCTCGTCTCAGGTAGAACAAATATCGTTCATCATTGTGTTACTTTTATTTCCACAAGCATCACTTCCTCATGATGCGTTTCAATTTCTTTTCTGGTAATGTGACCATGCGAGGGTTTGGTACCGTTCATTCAATGGCTTATGAAAGAAAAATAAAACAGATTTCAAGACAAAAACTGCTTGAGTTTGAAACTCAGAAATAATTTTTTTTATTTTTTTTATTTTAGCAATAAACGTACATTTTGTACACAGTTTTATTCACGTCATGCAGCTCTAAATTGTAATATTTTCACCAGAAAACCTCTATACGTGCATATTGATGTGTGATGTACTTTATGAAGGAGCTATTGTTGCACAAAACGTATAGTGACCCCTTCTGTGATATAATAAGTTCAGTTTGTTCTGCTGATAGTCTTCTGCTGAAATCAACTAAAAATAAGAATATATCAGTTTGTGAACACATGATCAGTCACGGTCAGCTGGTCTCTCAACACAATTGATAAAAATTTTCTTGACAAGAAGACAGGGAGCAGGAGAACCCTCATCTGGTTTAATGGCCTTTTCTTTCGTATTTTTTCCAAGAGGCAAGCGATCTCTTCCTCCTCGTCCGCTGATGCCATGACTGAAATTGTGAGAAATTAAGGAATTTGTCATGAACTAATTAAAATCAGGTCCAGCGTGGCTGCAGGAGGGTCTGTAGATTTCTCAGTGGGTTGGTCT